TGATAAAGCAGACAGAATCAGAGGAATGAATGTATGCAGTAGAAGAATAAAAATCCGAGCCCACAGAACGTGTCTCCTTAAGACAATTTTTCCCCTTACAGATGCCAAAGGTTGATGGACACTTGTCTCCCAGGATAGAACAGATTTCGTCTGAAGAATGATGGCACTACCAATCAGCAACCCAAACGAACACAACTATTGCCAGAGGAAAGTACACCGGAGGATGAAAGGCAGTATGCAAAACCGGAAGGAGAAAAATTTCGGCAGAGTTTCAGTGCACAAAAAACTGGATGAATTTCTGAAGGTGTCAGTGTCTATTTATAGATACTGACCGGTCACGAGGAACAGTCGTTGGCGGCGAACCGCCGTGTCTGACGGCAGCCAACGGGTGCGACCGATGACCGTTCCGATGAACAGGTACAACCGGTGACCGGTTCAGTGAGCAGACACAACCGGTGACTGGTTCACGAAGGGGAAGAACTGGTTCGGTTCAACACTGCTCAAAAATTCGGCGGTAAAAACGTTTGGGTTGGACGGAAGCAACAGATACATTTTTGGACAAATATTAAAAAATAACTGAACCGGCCGGACGGCGGCGTGCGTGTGTGGTGGACCAAAGTTCACCTAGCTCCTCCCCCTACATAAAACATGTAGTGACCCAAGGGCCAATCTAAGAGAGTGAGGTGGGAGCTTATATACTCTCTCACTTCCTACTAATTGTCCAATGTGAGACTTGTTAAACCCACACACCTCTTCATCTTCCCTTTTCTCTTTTCTTTATTAACCCATTTCTTATTCATAACCAATGGATCATTGTACATTAATTCTTTCATTAATTCCAACAAAGACATCTTATGAAAGATAGAAAAAATTAACGCGGTGATTAGTAGGAGGTGAAAAAAAAAATTCTAGAAAAAATGGGATGGAGAAAATTATTTGTCTATTTTTCATGAAAGGTGAAGTAAAAGTATAGCTAGGAAAATTTTTTTCCCAATCATTTGTTTTTCTTCATAAAATGGTTATGGAAGATTATCATTGATGGGATGAAATTGTTTTTTTCTCATGTGGTGGAAAAATTAACACACAGTATCAGTACAATTAACACAACATTCTCGGAAAAATTTGGCTTACCAAACATCTTTTAGTAACTTACCCGAAAAAAAAAAATTCATCATATTCCTGAAAATTAATTTTTTCTGATAAAAATAAATTTTTCTTTTACCAAATGTCTCCTAATCATTTCAATATTTTTTTAGCGGGTAGTAAGCACATTTCTAAATTTTTTTAAAAAAAAACAAATAATCAAATGATTTGATTTGTCCACTATTCTTGAACTTATTCCGCTCTATTTATGGTACTGCACGGGTACCTAATAGCAATCTACTAGTTTTCGTTCGTCTAAATGTCGTCCTACTCATGTTAGCAAGGAAGCACGGACACTTGTAAAAACAGGAAGAGTCGGGTCCGACACGCTCCGACACGGCGACACGCTCCGACACGCTCCGACACGGTGTCGGACACGCGGTTGACTTTTTCCGACACGTTGACCATTCCGACACGCGAATTTGACCGTGTCCGACACGGTCAAATGGCATTTTCGTAATTTTTTTATTTTTTTTAAATTTTTTTTTTTAAAAGTTATAATATATTAATAAAGCTTCCAACTGATCATATCAATTTTATTTTTTTTCTTTTTTCCCCTTAAGTAGATAAGAGATCATCTCAGCATCATTGTTGTCAATTCCTATTACGCTCTTGTTGTATCTTCTTCTCTCTGATCTCTCTCTAATATGATTTGATCTCTCTATCTGATATTATATCTCTCTCTCATCTCAGTTTTTATTTTTTTTTATTAAAGCTTCCATCTTTATAACGTGTTAATGAGTATTATTAATTTAGTTTCATTTTTTTGTTAAATTATTAAATATTAAATAAAATATACACTATATATATTAAAAATATTATTTAATATTAAAACGTGTCCCAACGTGTCGAAATCCATAATTTTTTAAGATTGACGTGTCGGAGTGTCGTATCGTGTCGTGTCACGTGTCGCGTGTCGTATCGGTGCTACATAGCATGTTAGTCATGACTTGTTAGCTTCAAAAGAACATATTACCAGAAAGTAAAAGGAGAGAAAAGTTTTCAAAGAACATAAAACGGAAAAGGGACAGATAACTGACACTGAACAATAAAACTTTTTTTTTTGGTAAACAAACAATAAAACTTTTATAAGATTCAATGCTCATAAGTTCTTGGTCAAAGAAGATACTGGAAATTCTTATCTTTTTCTTTATTTAGATTTTTAAAATCTTAGAATTTTCTAGAATGAAAAGAATTTTAAAATTTTTAATAACATAAAATGTGATTCACCCGTAAAGAAAATCCTCTTTCTCATTCAAATATGAAAAAAGGATGTCGAAAATAAATATACTTTTTTTTTTACTTTTTTAAAAAAAAAAACTCGAAACACAATCAAAAATCCATATTGTCACTGCAAGTAACAAGACTACAATAGAGAGGGCAGAAACTCCTTAGTCCGCGAACAAAGGTGGGCGTGATTAGTTAAGGATTTGGTCCACATTTTATATGGGTACGGGTTCAAATCTTATTAGATTTTGTAGATAAGTGATATGTAATTTCTCTCAAAAAATTTCAAAGAGGTTGGAGTCTTCTCTGATCCCAATAAGATACCGGTATCTAATTTCACTTAAATTTTTTGTATTAAAAAAAACTCTATAATCCTATATTTGCCGGAAGCAAAATACAAAATTCCGAAATAAACATTATTTACTATCATCTAATAATAAACGATTATAAAATGTTAAGAATATATTTAGCAATAAAAAATAATTATGTAAATAAGACGCACCTCAATTTATCTATCCAGTCCAGATTGCAATAATTCATATAATTAATTATCCTCGTTTTTCAAAATTAAAACATGGAAGTGTAAAAAAATATTTAATGCAAGCAAGCACAAAGTAAATCACCTCATATTGTATGAGAAAATAATAAAAATAAAGGTAAAACTAATTTTAATCATACTAAAAAGCTATACTTATGTGAAGTAATGTATACCTAAACGTGTAACATTATTCAAAAATGTATTTGATGACTTCTTTTATTTTTTTGGTACCTTTTTACCGTTGAAATCTAACTTTAATCCCTAAATTTGATAATACATGATTACCCGCACAAGACAACAAAATCTCAAAAGCAACGTTTAGATAACATTTTCATCATTTCATGAATCTTCATCTCATTATGAATTATTATTATATTATTAAAAGGTTTAACCAATATTTATTAGGAGTAAATCATATTTATAATTTTTCTATTTACAAATTATACTATTATTACGTGTAATACATATTAAAATAATATATATTATCTGTAATACATAGTATAATTTATAAGAATTTATAAATAAAAAATTAATAAATATAACTCTGCTCTATTTATTATTACTTAAAAGTTTATTTTTTAATTTTAATAATGTATCAATATGTTATTATATAGTAATAAATCGTCGAATTATGTGTAACATAATATCAAATTTAAATCCATACGAAATATCTTAGTTCACTAATTAATTCCTCTTCTCTAATAACGATCCGCAATTGTTTTTTTTTTTAATTTCTTGAACAGTTGTTTCCTACCTAAATTTCATCCTCCTGCAGGTCACAGGATACAAAAGTAAATTAACCCTTTCATTAACTTGGAACAAATCTAAGTAAATTATATGACTGTTATATGAAAATCATAATTATATAAAGATGAATTAATGATAATAGAAAAAGAGAGAAAAAAATGTTAAAATAAATAGTTATCAATATCTTAATTTTTGGAACTTAAATAAAAATATAAATTAATAATTAAATTAAAAAAATATCCACATTTAAAAAAGAAAGAATACTCACCTAGATATTCCTGATGCACTGAAAAACTTTTCCTGAACTTGATATTCCTCTCCCTATTAACATTGAGTGTGTAAATATTTAGTCTCGCTTGCTTTTTTTTTTTATATATATATACATAGTAATAACTTCAGCCAATAGTTAAAAATAAAATATTTAATAATAAAATATTAAAAAAAGTGTTTGTCATTTTAAATGATATAAAATTATGTCATATTAGAAGAGAGATAGACACAATTTATTTTACTATTTAAAATTTGAATTAAAAAAATACCACTCACTTTCTCTCTCGTATGATTTCTATTTTTTGTGTTTATCTTTCTCCTAAATGACATAATTTATGTCATTTAAAATGACAAATACCAAATCCTAAAATATTATACCTATTTTTTTATACCTACTCTCCTTACATATTATCAATACCATTATATTAAAATCTTAAAAGAAGATGAATAGATAAAATAAACATAAAAAATAAAATAAGCACTATATCCTACCTCTATATATTAAAATCATATTATTGTTATCTTATTAAAACTTAAACTTATTAATCTATGTTCAAGGTCATTTCATTTCAAAAAATACCTGTTAATCTACTTAACCACCTCGTACAAAATAAATATTTAAATAAAGATTTAAAACAATATAATTTTTTTTAAAAAAAACATAAACTAAACTAACGCTTAAGAAAAGGCAGTATCAGGCAAATCATCCTAATCCCAATTCAGAGCTTGTAGAAAAATAGATAAAATCCCCTGCGTTTCAACTCCCAATCAACGCAAATATTCAACACCGCAAGGGGATGAAGAACACCGTAGAAGGGACAAATAAATGAATCAATAGTTCCCGAAAAAGAGAAAAGGAATTTTACATAACTTAAGCTACATAACTTAAGCCACTTTTGAATCCCTCGTCGGTTTCACTTTGGTCCCTTATGAAAAAAAAAAATTCAACTTTTAATCTCTTTACAATTTTAATTCTTTAAAAATCTAATCCCTCATAAATTCAATAAAAATTCAATTTAATTCTTAAAAAAAGATTAATATGAATATTTTATTTTTTTTACAAGGGAACAAAAAGAGAAAGTGTTTTTTTAGTTAAGCACCCCAAAAGGGCTTTACTCATTTTACATTGTATTCAGTTTCTTCTTTGAAAAACTGAAACTATGGGTACAACCACCACAACTCACAAAGGAAACAAAACCAAAACTTTGATTCCTACAAGGAAAAAAAGAAAAGAAAAAAGAAACCCGAAAAATGAGTCATTTGGTAAAGAGGATCTCCCACAAGTAGCAAACACACATTTTAATATGTATACCATTTACAGCTACATTCACAAAATTCCCCTGTACCGATCCCTTCTCCCTTTGACCCTGCTTCGTGGAAAGAAAAAGTAAAACTCGCACCTTCCTTTCGTTACTTTCCTCTCTCTCTCTCTCTCTCTCTCTCTCTCTCTCTCTTTTTTCTAAAAATATTTTCTTTCCTTTTCCGGGAATATTGCAGCAGTTTCTCAGTTGTTTCTGGAGGAATCGTATTTACCATTGAACTAAGCAGCAGCAAGTGTCCCTGTACGAAAGGAGTAATCTTGACCCTTGTTTGGGGATGCAGATTCTCTTTGTTCCTTATTCCTCAAAGCCTTCATGGATGAAGAAAGGTTCCTATTCTTCTCCTTGGCTTCGTCTTTCTCTATTTGCTCTTCCCTGCACTCTTCGCTACAAAAAGGCGTATCCCCTCTGCAAATCACATCAACAATCACATCAAATTCATAACCAAAATACTCAATTCTCAAAAGGGTCTTCTAGCAACTAAATCAATATTTAAAAGTAACAAATATTTATATTAAAAAATAAATCTTTGTAATTTGTATGTAATAATAGTAAGTAACAAAGGGTGGTTGTTGTTGTTGTAGGTGGCTAACCTATACATGAAGATGTCTCTATTATCCCCAAGTGGCTTCTTGCAGAGAAAACAAGCTTCGAGGAAGTGGGGTTGATTATGATGATGATCTTCAAATCTGGAATCATAGAATCTCCCAGATCTTGGTGAGGAAAGAGTAAGGTTCCTGAAACTGCTTCTATTGTAAGAGGTGGCATAACCATAACCCTGCATGGTCATAGACCTTGAAACAAAACTATTGGCACGGTAACCACCGTCCATATCTGTTAAGGAAGCCAAACCGTTGTCCTGTTCCAAGTAACAAGGTCTTACAATACTAGACCCTGAGAATTGCATGAATTAAGGTTGTCGTTTAGAGATTGAAAAATGTTAAACAGGGTTTTAATTTGTTCAGGGGGAAAAAGGGTAGAAGAGTGAGGGAGTGGAATAGCGTGGAACTAAAAAAGTGGTAAGAGATGGTTTTATAAAGAAGAGTAGGTGAAGTGTTTATAAACAGCGGCAGGTTACAAGGAATCCGTGAGAGTGAGTGAATCCATTGGCTGAAACCACCTTCATCAACACCGTTCAAAAAATATATTAATTTTTTTAATAATTGCATGATTGAGGAGATAAGTATCTACCGCTATTGTTAGTCAAAATTACACAGATGACATTGGTGGAAAAGGGTGGAATAGGTGAGGAAGTGGCATTTTAATGGTTTAAGGAGAATAAGAAGGGTTATTTTGTCTGAAATGGAAAAGATCTTCCCCAGTCCGAAGTGGTAGGTTTTAATTTTGAACGAAAGCACACATGTCTCTCTCTCTTTCCACTGAGTCAAAATTATGGAGGAGAAGGGTAAGAAAAGTGCGGGCCCAAACTCGTGCAATGCGCGTAAACGTAACAAACACAGCGCCCAGGGTCCTAGTGTACTTTCTCCCAGTAAATTGATGGGGCCAGGGCCACCCCCTCTCACAAGACGGTTTATTATGAGTTCTTCAATCTTAAATTTAAAAGCATCAAAATGTTTAAAATTTAAATAACAACTATTTCAAAATGGAAAATGTATGCATTATATCATTCACATTTATTATATAATACGCGTTATTTGTTAGTTACTGGTACATTATTTATTAATGATAATGTGATTTCATAATTTTTCTAAACTAGACTTGTAGGTAGTAACTCATTAGGCGCATTACCTACACTCGTGGTAATATTTAATTGGCTAATGAAACCCTTGTTAAGATTGGTCATCAGTAGCTTAGAAGAGAGGAACGTCTTGTTCACTGAAATTTTTCCTCTGAGGGGCCGTTTGGTATGCGGTATTTTGTAGGATTCCCGAGAAAATGAATTTTTCTAAATTTTAAATTTTCCAATATTATCGTAAACTGAATGTAAAAATCATATTTTTGAAATTCGAGATTCCCGAACAAATAAAAATTTCTCCTGTACCAAACGCCGCCTGAGGGTTATGTTAAACTTAATGTGGATGGTTCCAGCATAGACAGTGGGCAAATGACTGCATATGGTGGAGTCATAAGGGATGCTGTTGGAAACTGGTTAACTAGTTTTACAAAATTCCTTGGGAGTGGTACTTCTACTTCAGCAAAAATTTGGGGTTCTTGACAGGTATGGATCTGGCTTGGCATAAGGGATATAGGAGAGTCTTTGTGGAGGGTGACTCCAAGGTGGCTTTGGAATTTATAAGAAAAGGGTGTGACGTAAGTCATCATCTTTCTGCTTTAATCATCCGAGCTCGTAGCATGCTTCAAAGAGACTAGATTATTCAACTTAGTCATACTTATAGAGAAGACAATTTTGTTGCTGATTGGCTTGCTACTCATGCACCTCATCAGGATGGACAGCTGATTGTGCTGGATGTCCCTCCCACGGCTTGTTTAATATTGCATCGTAATGACTTGAGGAGAATTAGTCTCCCAAGATTGTGCCCAGTATAAGGCTGTTACTTTTAGTTTTGATTGTATTTCCAAAAAAGTAACTCGTCATATTTAGATCTGGTTGTGGTAAATCAAATCATAACAAGTGTGATTTGATTTATTTTTTAAGCTAGAAATTATTTTTAAGTAAAATTAAAAAAGAATTTAAAAAAATTAAAATTATTTGATGATTATATAAAAATATTAGCTTAAAAATTACTTAAGACACATTTTAAGAAAAATATCTTTTTCTTTTTTTATACGACTCTTCATTAAAAAAAAATACACAATTCAAGAAAAATTGATAAAAGATTAAAAAAAAACTCCTCTTATGAGCTTTTGACATTTTTCTTCGTTATAAAAAAAGAGCTTTTAATTATAAGAATTTTTTTCAAAACTTGTTTGACTTACTATCTGCTTATAAATAGAAGAGAATTTAAAAATAAGAGTATTGGAACAGAGACTAAATTTGACTCGAGATTAATTTCATAATCAAGTTGAAGTTTGTATATAACAATTAAGCTTGATTTTTTGCCGGCTTCAATTCGGGTTATATTTATATATAACAATTATTTAACCTTTCAATAAAGTTGCAGGGTTGATAACGATAACAAATTAACAATGTTGTTTCAGTATAATTTCAAAACTAATCATTTTTAAATTAAATTACTAAATTGTCATATACTAAATAAATACTAAAATGATGAATTCTTTGAAGAAAGATTATAAGAGATGCAAAAAATTTAGATTAAACAAAATTTAAAATTATTTATTGATTTTAATATTTGAACTTTTTGCCGTGTATAATGAAAAAAAAAATATTTGTTCTTTCAAAGGATATAACTTTGTATCATTTTAGATCTTAATTGTCGATTTCCGTCAATCAATAGTTAAAATTTATTGGGTCAAACTTATTAATTAATTAATAATTCGTAATAAAACCCAATAAATTCTAACCATTGATTGACGAAAATCAACAGTTAGGATCTAAAATGACACAAAGTTATATCCTTTAAAAGGATAAATATTTTCCACATAATTATAAGATATTTTATTTTAGGCTTTAATGTTTCTATAATGAATGTAGATAATTTATCTATATTTACTCTCAAAATATTAATATTTTGAGTTAAAAATAAAAAAAATTATAATGAGAAAGACAATCTTCTATGAAATAAATTTTAATTACAAAAATACCTTGATTTTCGCTTTAAAATAATATCATTTTAAATTTAATATAAATAAAGTATCTACATGCAGAAAAAACCAACCTTTTTATTCTAACACCTTTATGTTTGATTTCGAAGAAAACAAGTGGAGAAAATATGTTTTGTTTGTGTTCTAGATTTTACTTGTCTTACAAAAGCCATTTCGGTACAGGAAGAGATCCGAACGGTAACTCGTCGTGCTTTATTCCGTTTTTTTTTTTTTTTTTTTTTGATAACAGCTTTATTCCATTTTATGGTGTACAGAGAAGGGATTTTGGAGACCTAAAAGGTCAATTTTCTAATTACAAAAAAGAAGAAGAAGTCATTTTTCTTCCCTGGTTGAATTTTTTTATCTATTATATTATTATAATTTCATCATTTTTTTCAATTTCTATATAATATTTAGGATAATGTTTAATAAATATAAAATAATAAAAATAATAAATCCTTAATAATTCTGTCGGAAAATACAAAAATTTTAAAAATACAATTTAAAATCATGTCTGCTCTAATTTTTATTTTTTGCATTTCCTTCTTAGCCTCCTTTTCATAAGAATGTAAGATTGGCTATCGTAATCTTTCTTCTTCAGTGACACAGCCCTATCATCTTATTTTATTTTGTTTTGTATTAATTTAATAAATTACTTAGATATGTCAAAATTTGAGTTTGTTTGATATTGTTTCTTTTAATGATATATCTTGTATTTTTAAGGAAAACTGTTAAATGACATAAAGTTATGTCATTTTAAGAAAGAGATAGACACAGAATAATTAAAATTTATTAAATTAAAAAAAATCACTCACTTTCTCTCTCCCATGATTTTCATTTTCTGTGTCTATCTTTCTCCCTAAAATGACATAACGTATGTCATTTAAAATGACAAACACCAAGCCCGTATTTTTATTATTCCTTTTAGGTAGATTTTAATTTTCTCTCTTTTTGAGATGACTTTTATTAGTTTCTGATAATTTGTTCGATCATGATAATTTTATAATTAAGGGAAACTTCTATATTTTTCTTAGAAGAAGATTAATATATATAGGGTTTGGTGTTTCTCATTTTAAATGACATAAGTTATGTCATTTTAAGAGAGAGATAGATACAGAAAAATGAAAATCATGGGAGAGATAAAGTGTGTGGTTTTTTAATTTAAAATTTAAATAAAAAAATTTCTGTGTCCGTCTCTTTTTTTTTTTTTTTTTTGGTACATTGTGTCCGTCTCTTTCTTAAAAGGACAGAGTGTTGTGTCATTTAAAATAACAAACATTTTTCTCATATATATATATATATATATATATATATATATATATATATATATATGTAAGTTATAGTACTTTTCGTATTAATTCTTACTGTGAAAAAAATGCAGTCATCAATAATTTTAGAGTAAAGAGTAGAGTTACATAGAGTTATTTTTACTAAGGGGAAATGATTTTTGCGTTTCAAGCACAAAATATGTCTCTGCTACTGAGAGAAAGAGAGAGAAAAACTCATGAAAAGAAAGAAACTCATAAAATGATGAGAAATATTTTGTATGGTCTAAGATCACTTAATAACACAGTGTTTTTTTTTTTTTTTTTACAAAATCAATTTTTTCTTTCCTTTTTCATCCTGTTATTTTCTCTCTTTTTTTATTTTATTTTTTTATTTATACTAAGAAACCACCTAAAAAGTAATGATCCTGAAACATAATAAATGCTCTTAAAATAATTAACCTCATTCATTTTTTTCTCTCATCTGCAGAGAAATGTTTTCTGCGTCAAAAGGTAAAAATTATTTTTTCCTTTTACTAAATAGTTTAAAATATGGGGAAATATTTTCTACATATGTTGCAGAAATTTTTTATCTACTATATAGAGAAAAAAAGGATGAGATCTATTAGTTATCGTAACATTTTCTGTATCTGTGGCAAATATTTTTTATCTATGCCATAGAGAGAAAAAAAGAGTGAGAGGTGGGATCTATTAATTATCATATTATCTCTCTTTACGGGTTTTTTTCTCTCTCTTTTTTCTTTCCTATGCGACAGATAAATTTTTTTTGCACCTATATACAAAATATTTTCCCTTAAAATATAGAGCTTATTTAGTCTCATATTGTATGAAAAAAAAAATCTTATAGACCTATAGTGATAGGAGTCACCACCTTAAAAAAAAAAAAAAATTTAGGGTTATCAAAAAATGTATAAGAAAGAAAAGATGTTTCCCTAAAATATATATTGTATTCGTTTTTCTATCTCGCGTGGCAACGCGCCGTGGATGCAAGTGGGAGAGCACTGGTAGGAGTATTCTTTTCCCGCTCCAAAACCCACGGTATCACATTTTTCTCAGTACCAG